AGGATTGCAGGTATTTTGTATCACTGGTATCTGTGTAAGATTAGCCTGAGCTGAATCTATCCTTGGTCTAGAGTATACTCCTGTTCACTGACTCCCACCTGATCTTCTCAGATGTTTATGTGTTTATCTGTAGCCTGGTGTTTGGTGTTAATGGTAATGCAGTACTGTGAATATACTGGTTGGTGTTAGCATCTGTCGTCTATCTCTTATGTGCACAATTCAGCGTCCATCCTTTTCCTAATGTTATCATGGTGGTCACAGACTCTTTCTATACATCCCTCCACTTACCCAATTCAGTGTGTTCTTTTTTTATTTTCTTTTTTTAAATGTATGGTTAAAATCATATAATAAAAATTTATTTTCTAGGTTTTTTTAAATTTAATATTGTATTGCGGTATCTTAACCCATTGCTAAAACTGAGACACATAAAGTATTTAACAATACAAAGAATGAATACTTGAGGAAATCATTCTGAACGTAGTACCAAAAAAAGAGAGAGAAAAGAAAGGAAAATTGAAATACAGGAGAGATAAAAAGAAACATGAGGGGCTGATCGAGGAGGTGCAATGTATAATTACTAGTAGTTTTAGAACGAGAAGATGAAGGAGAGAAAAATTTCAAAGAAATAGACAAGAAAATTTCCTAGAACTGAAGGAAACAGATGTTCAGATTGAAAGGGCCCACCAGACACCAAGCACAAGGAATAAATTGTTGTTCTTGTTTGGTGTTGTTAAATCCATTTCAACTCATGGCAACCCTATGGACAACAGTACGGAACACTGCCTGGTCCTGCACCATCCTCACAATCATTGCTATGTTCAAGCCCATTGTTGCAGCCACTGTGTCAATCCATCTCATTGATGAGTTTCCTCTCTTCACTGACTCTCTACTTTACCAACCACGAATTCCTTAGGGACTGGTTCCTCCTGATAACAAGTCCGAAGTACATGAGACAAAGTCTTGCCATCCTTGCTTCGAAGTAGTATTCTGGCTGTACTTCTTCCAAGACAGATTTACTCATTCTTCTGGAAGTACATGGTATAGTCAATACTCTTAGCCAACACCATAATTCAAATGCATAAATTCTTCATCATTCTTCCTTACTCATTGTTTAGCTTTCACATGCATATGAAGCTACTAAAAATACTATGCATTGGGTCAGGAGCACCTTCAGACCTCAAAGTGACATCTTTACTTTTTAACACTTTAAAGAGGTCTTTTACAGCATATTTGCCCAATGCAATACATTGTTTGACTTCTTGACTGCTGCTTCCATGGAGGTTGATTGTGGATCCAAGTAAAATAAAATACTTGCCAACTTCAATACTTTTTGCATTTATCATTGCTTACTGGTCCAGTTATGAGGATTTTTGTTTTGCTTATAGTAAGGTATAATTAATGCTAAAGGTTGTAATCATCAGTAAGTGCTTCAAGTCATCTTCACTTTCAGCAAGTAAGGTTGTGTCATCTGCATATCGTAGGTTGTTAATGAGTCTTCCTAAAATCCTGGTGCCACATTCTTCTTCATAAAGTCCAGCTTCTCAGATTATTGCTCAGCATACAGATTGAATAATATGGTGAAAGGATATAACCGTGATACACATCTTTCCTGATTTTAAACCATGCAGTATCCCCCCCCCCCTTATTCTATTCAAACAACTGCCTCTTGGTCCATATACAGGCTCTGGATGAGCACAATTAAGTGTTCTGGAGTTCCCATTCTTCACAATGTTATCCATAATTTATTATGATCCATACAGTTAAATGCCTTTGCATAGTCAACAAGACACAGGTAAACATCTTTCTGTATTCTTCGCTTTCAGCCATGTGACATCAGCAATGATATCCCTTGCTCTATGTACTCTTCTGAATCCAGCTTGAATTTCCCTGTAAATGTACTACTACCACTGTTTTTGGATTACCTTGAACATAATTTTATTTGCATGTGAGATTAATGATACTGTTTAAAATTTCTGCATTCTGTCAGATCACTTTTCTTTGGAAAGGTCACAAGTATAGATTTTTTCCAGTTGGTTGGCCAGGTAGCTATCTTCCCAATTTCTTGGCCTAAACAAGTGAGCCCTTCCAGCGCTGCATCCGTTTGCTGAAATATTTCAATTGGTATTCTATCAGTTCATGGAGTCTTGTTTTCCGCCATTGTCTTCAGTGTAGTTTGGACTTCCTCCTTCAATATCATCATGTGCTACCTCCAGAAATGGCTGAACATCGATCAGTTCTTTTTGGTACAGTGACTCTGTGTATTCCTTTCAGCTTCTTTTGATGCCTTTGCATTGTTCAATATTTTGCCCATAGAATCCTTCAATATTGCAACCCAAAGCTTGAATTTTCCCATCAGTTCTTTCAGCTAGAAAGATACTGAGTATGTTCTTCCCTTTTGGTTTTCCAACATCAAATCTTTGCACATCTCATTATAATACTTTACTCTGTCTTCTCAAGCTTCCCACTGAAATTGTCTGTTCAGCTCTTTCACTTCATTGTTTCTTCCATTTACTTTAACTACTCTAAGTTCAAAAGCAAGTTTCAGAGTCTCTTCTGACATCCATTTTGACCATATGATTGATTCAAAATGGCCAAGACCAGTCCATTTCAGCTCACTAATGCAGAAGATATGGATCTTTATGCATTCTATTTCATTTTTTGACAACTTCTAATTTTCCTTGATTCATACATTGTACAATCCATGTTCCGAAGATTAATGGATCTTTGCAGTTGTTTCTTCTCATTTTGAGTCATGCCACATCAGCAGATGAAGGTCCCGGAAGATTTACACATCCATGCAGAGGCATATCGAAGGTATGGCAGGTATGGCACATGTCCTGGAGGCACTTGTGAGGGGTGCCAATGAGCGGTTTCTATTTACCATCAGTTCCATTCACCAGCTGTGAGAGGTCATTCAGCAACTTAAGACTGATTGCCACAGGCACTATTTTCCATAGACAGGCCTCTGCACCTTCATCATTAAAAGGCAGAAGCTCTTCCCCAGATGTATACTGAGTGTCTTCCAACCTGAGGGGCCCATCTTCTGGACTATATCCGACAGAGTTTCACTGTCACCCATAACGCTATTTTTTCAGGAGTAGATCTCCAGGTCCTTCTTCCTAGTCTGTCTTAGTCTAGAAGTTCTGCTGAAACCTGCTCACCGTGGGTGATCCTGTTGGTATTTGAAATACCAGTGGCATAGCTTCCAGCTTCACATCAACATGCTAATCACCAAAGTACAACAAACTGACCAAGGAGTGGTGGAATGAACAAATACAGAACTACGTATCATGGTGCCAAAGAGATGATCCTCAAAGAATCTAGAGGGAAAATAAAGGCCACGCACAAAGATCAAGAACAAGAATTCCACAGCAATACTCAAAGAAGGTCATGGAGATAATGCTTTCAAATTGTCAGAGAAATTGGTTTCCAAATTAAAATTCTATATTCTAACTATCAAAAGTAAGAACAAAAATATTTTCAGAAACACAAGTTCTCCAAACCCTTACTTCCCATGCACCTCTTTTTCCGAAAGTTCATTAAGAACAGGCTCCACCAAAATGAGAAAATACCCAAGAAAAAGGAATATGTGAGATGCAGAAAACAGGGGTCAATACAGAACTGCCAAAGGAGCCCAGGATGATGGTGAAAGAGACCCCAGAATGGAAGCTGGCAGCTGGCCTGAAGACCAGTCAGCCCAGACTACTGCCACATGCTAAGAGACACCTGACAGAACTGAGCCAGTGGGAAATCGTATTGTGAAGCTGTGGAAAGTAGCCAAATGTCTGAAATAATGTAGAAAACTAAACAGATGAAAAAAGAGGTATTATTAACACTAGAAAAAAGTTTAAAGAAAAGAGACATAGTCATAGCACATTCCTTGGTTCCTCAGTGAAAAATGCTGCTACAGTCACAATGACAGAAACCAGGAAAGTAATGTAGCCAGAAATTATGACACGCCTATTTTGGCAGAGTAAGGAAGAAAAGTCAAGGCGAGCCAACAGAGAAGGGTGCAGGATGAAGGCTTAAATTTGATACTCCATGGAAGAAGTCAGCACGAATGCCAAGGCACGGCACACGTTGCTGTCCCTTAGAAATATAAAGGTAAACTCCAGAGCAAACAACTTAAAGGTTCAAAAGTTGTTGCCTCTGAGAAGGGGAATGGGTGGCAAGGGTTGGTAGAAGACTGGTACTTTCTCTAAGCCTTTTAGTATTGACTTTTAAAAAAACAACAAAAACTACTTATAAGTATTTTCTCTTGTAAAAATTAAAGAGCAATCTGTAGCACAGCATAGTACAAGTATAAAGTAATTGATATGCTCCATTTGAGTGTCACAAGGAGCTCTGGTGGTGCAGTGCATAAAGCATTTGACTGTTAATCAGAAGGTTGGCAGTTCAAATCCACCAGCCACTCTGTGGGAAGAAGATGAGGCAATCTATTTTCGTAAAAATTTACAGCCTTGGAAATCGAATGGGAGTTGTTATGAGTTGGAATCGACTCAATGGCAGTGGGTTTATTTAAATAAACCCACTGCCATTGAGTCGATTCCAACTCATAGAGGAAGCTCTGGTAGCGTAGTGCCTAAGGCACTTGACTGCTAACCAGAAGGCTGGTGGTTCAAATGCACCAGCAACTCCTCAGAAGGAAGATTGGGCAATCTACTTCTGTAGTGATACTGCCTCGGAAACCCAAGGAGAGGTCGCTATGAATAGTCGGGGCTGACTAGGCAGCACATAACAACAACAGCAGCAAAACAATACACAGCAAAGTAAAGTAACATATGTACTAGAAGTAAATACAAAACACTCAAAAAAAAGATAAAAGGTACCTCTTTGGAACAAGGAACACTGCTGTGATCTTTTTCCATTACCAGCCACTTGAGAGCATTTAGAATAGAGGGACTTTTCCATGTTGGCCAAGGGTTAACAAATCTTCCATCTTTTCCTTTCTTTGATTTAGTTACATCTTCCTCTAATCTGTAATCCAGTTTGAAGCTTTTCCTGGACAATCTTGAAGAATCACTTCCTCTAGAATTCCGAGCTGAATTTTGGCGTTTTCTTACTACTTCTTTAGGATACTGGCTGCTTGCCACCAGGAACTGGTTGCTTTCATTTTCATCCATGTTCTTTGGTGGAGAACTGAGAAAAGAAGGGAGAAAAATACTGAGTTTAACATAAAATCATTAACACATATTGTTTTTGTTAGCTGCTCTCAAGTCAATTTTAATTCATAGCGACCCCATGTGACAGAGCAGAACTGCCCTATTTCTTAGACAATAAAATATTTTCCAAACCTACAAAAACATTGTCTCTGTTAGCAAACCCTTTCTTCCTGCAAAACACAATTTTAGAACCCAGTATTAAAACCATTTGCCATCCAGAGGCTATTTCTACATACATATTTGTATGTGTTGTAAATATATCCATGTATATAGCCAAGCAGGATCCCTGATGGTGCAGAGGTTAAAGGTCTCAGCTGCCAACCAAAAGGTAGGCAGTTCAAACCCACCAGCCACTCAGTGGCAGAAAGTTGTGGCATTCTGTTTCCATAAAATGTACAGCCTTGGAAACCCTGTGAGGCAGCTCTACTCTGTCTAGAGGGTCACCATGAGTCAGAAACACCTCGATGGCAGTGGGTTTGGTTTGGTTTTGGGAATATAGTAGAGCAAACAGGGCAAGGTTATGAAAAATTCACAATTACAACCAAACAACTTGAGCAAATGGGGCATGGGGCTCTGGGGCTCTGGACTACAGTCTCGAGTGACAGCTAAGTCCATTGGCACAACACAGTTCACAAAGGCAATGTTCTCCATCCTACTGCGGGAGTAACGATTGGGGTCTTAAAAACCAGTGAGCGACCATCTAAGATGTAATTATTGGTCTCTCCCCATCCGGAGGAAAAGAAAGTGAAGAAAATCAAAGACTGAAGGAAATAATTAGTCCAAAAGACTAATGGACCACGTGAACCACAGCCTCCATTATCCTGAGGCCAGAATATTACAGCACCTGGCTACCACCACCAATCACTCTCATCAGGACCACAGAAAGTCCTGGACAGAATGGGAGAACAATATAGAACAAAATTCAAAATCACAAATAAGACCAGACTCACTAGTCTGACAAAGACTGGTAGAACCCCCAAACTGTGGCTCCTAGACACCTTTCAAATCTGGAACTGAATCAACCCCAGGGGGGATCACCTTGCAGCCAAAGGACAGACAGGCCTATTAAGTGAACTTACTCCTCAGAACAATTAACCACATGAGAACTAAAGGACAGTATTTGCCCAAAACAACTCTCAGCAGGCAGAAAGGGGCAAGAAAGAAGGATGAATGGACACAGGGAATCCAGAGAGGAAGCGGGAAGAGTGCTGTTAACTGAAGGAGTTACAACCAATGTACAAAACAAAATGTATAAAAATTGTTGAATGGAAAATTAATTTGCTCTGTAAACTTTCACCAAAACCACAATTTTAAAAATTAAATTTTTAAATATTGAGTTAAATCCACTGCCACTGGGTCAATGACAGCTCATAGCAGTCCTCCAGGGCAGAGTTGAATTGTGAATTCAACCACAGAGTTGAATTGTGAATTCAAGACCGTCATCTTTACAGAAGCAGACTGCCGACACCTTTCTTCCATGGTGCGCTGGTGAGTTCGAACTGCTGACTTTTAGATTAGCAGACAAGGGTTTAACTACTGTGCCACACAGGATTCCTTGAATCTAGTATTACTGCTTGCTAGATAGAAAACATATTTGTTTTACTTATTAGCCTTACTGCCAAATTGCTCAAAAATCCCTGATCTGCTATAATCTGAAACAACCTATTTTCCCAGCCAGTAATTAAACATGAAATTTTCAATGATATCTTAGAATAAACATCTTTACAAATCTATAATATGCTCATGCCTACATTTTGAAAATATTATTGTTGATAACACACAGTAAAAAGGATTGCCTTGTTTCCTTGAGGATACCCCAAGAATTCAAATTACTAACCTACCAGCCCTAGTCATTTTTACATTGAAGATAATCTAGTACCCATGTCCCCAAAAATTGCAAAGAACCTAAATCCCAGGAAAGAAACAATCAACACATTAATTGAGACACATTTCAGTAATGTATGTAACTGGTTAACAATATAACAATATAAACTTGAATAAACAGACTGCCAGCTCAGTACAGTATACAGTCTAGCTATGTAACCTTGGGCAAGTTCCTTAACTTCTCTGTGCGTTGATTTTCTCATCTATAAAACAGAAATAGTAATGTTATCTGCCTTCAAGGTGTTTTATAAGAATTTAAAAAGTTAACCTAAGTTAAGCACTCAGAAACACAGTAACATACACACATGCACACGATAACACCTCGGTGCTAGCTGTGACTGCTCATTGTGACCAGCGCTCCATCACCAACTACTTAACTCAAGTCACTGAAATTCTTAATTTCAGAACTCTACAGGGCTCCAGACACATAAAATGATAAACAACATGTTAAGAATGTGTATTCATCTGCCATAAATTTCATTTCTTTCCCACTCTGTTAAGCAAACACATGCTTTCTGTTTAATGAGTTGAAATACAATGCATACATGTAACACACTTGGTAATCCAAAGAAGACAGGCATAATAATGGAAAGACAAATATTACGTTTATAGCTACATATCATGTTTAAAAAGAAATACTATCCAGGAGAGAAAGAGAAAGAACACAAACCCCAGGATGAATGTGTACACTGAGCTAAAACTTTATTTTCCAAACTGTCTACAGTAAATAGTCTACGGTCTTAAGAATAATCAGTCTCAAGAAAAGAATACACAGCTGGCAAAAGCTAAAGTACACAATGTTGTCTAGCCATCCGCTGTTAGTGTGAAGGTCTAAACAGTTAAGATAGAGTCTAAGGAGCTGTACATTTTGGGCAAACAACTTAATCCTTCTAATCCTCAATTTTATCATCTGTAAAAGACCTATTTATTATGGTTTGAAGGATTAAATGAATTAATGTACATTAAGTGCTTGGCACTCCCCAAATTCCTTTTTCCCTAGTTTTGTTAACTAGCCATGCATTTAAATTCTTTTAAGTTCTGTTAGAAAGCAAATATCTGGGCACAGTTACCTCAGTTCTCATAGAAACACTTTACTTGGGTTATAATTGAGTTCAGGCCAAGGCCTTTACAAAGGATAGAAAAAACAAAGACCATTTATTTAAATAGCACTTGTGCACTATTCAAGGGGCCCTAATAGCACAGTAGTTAAAGTCTCAGTTGTGAACCAAAAAAAATCAGTGGTTTGAACACATCTGGCAGTCTGCTTCTGTAAAGATTTATAGCCCTGGAAATGTTATTGGACTCAACAGCAGTGGGTTTGGGGTTCTTCTGTGGGTTTTTTTTTTTTTTTTTTTATGGTTTTGTGTATTTTTCACAAAATTTCAGCTAACACTAGACCACTATGATCCTTAGTATTCCTTATACCCAAGTGTACACAATATCATGTATCTGTTTGAGTTTAGTTCTAGAGATGAACCTAAACTTTCTTTTGTCAGAAAATGGAAATGCCATGACCGTATTGCAGTCCTGACTTCGCAGGGCTGGGCCCATTCAGCCCATTCAGTCCTCAGTTGTTACCAATGGGTTCATCTCACGTGTCTGCCAGTATCAACACAATCTTTGAAATGTACTCTGTGCTACTTTATTAGTAGACATCATGCTCAGCACTGAGTTTTAATGTGTAAGCTGCCTAACATCCTCTTGAATCGGGGTGAGTATAAGTCTTAAGTAGAACCAAGGAAGAAAAAAAGACTTGAACTAATTTTTATATACAATTGACTATCAATTTACCACTACATCAAGCCACATCCACTAAGCCAATTCTGAACTAATAATAAAGAACCTTTTAAATTTCTTAAAGGCTCCTACAGTTCCCCATTCTTATTATTTTCCCGCACATATCACCCTATCCACAATTTAAAAAAAGATGTGTGGAAGAGAGAAGTAATAGCATTTCTATGCTGTTGTTAGAACAAGTAAACTCTAAGAACAACAATCACAAAGATGATTGAAAAAGGAAACAGTAGTTGGGGAGAAGAGAGAAAGAGAGAGAGAGGTAATAATATGCAAATTATTATGTAGTCAGAACCATGAATTGGATTTCCTTAAGAAATTACAGTTGAAGGATTTATATTTAACAAGAAATTGAGCTCCATCACATAGTTATCAAGGCATCTTATAATTGAATAGATATGGAAAGTTAGTCAGGAAGCATTTGAAAAAGTACTCAACACCATTAGTAACTGTTGTTGTTATGTGCCATGGAGTTGGACCAACTCATAACAACCCCTCCTTGGGTTTCCTGAGGCAGTATCACTATGGAAGTAGATTGTCCAACCTTCATTCCAAGGAGTGGCTGGTGAGTTTGAACCGCCAGCCTTCTGGTTAGCAGTCAAGTGTCTTAGGCGCTATGCTACCAGAGCTCCTAGTAACTGTTAGGTGCCAGCAAATCGATCCTGACTCAGATTAATGCCTAGGAGAACTGCCCCATAGGGTTTCCATGGGGTAACCTTCACAGAAGTAGACTGCCATATCTTTCTTCCTTGGAGCAGATGAGTGGGTTCCAACTGCCAAACTTTCTGTTAATGGCCACGTGTTGAACTGTTTGCACCACCAGGGCTTCTTAGAGAAATACAAACTAAAACTACAATGAGATACCAGGATATACTCATTAGAATGATTAGAATTTAAAAGACTGACACCACCAAATGCTGGCAAAGATGTGGAGCAACTACAAGTTTCATATATTGCTACTGTTGGTGTTGTTTGCTATAGAGTCGATTCTAACTCACAGAATAAAACTGTCCCATAGGGTTTCCTAGGCCAAAATCTTCATTGGAGCAGATCGCCAGGTGTTTTCTCCCATGGCATGGCTGATGGGGTTAAACCACCAACCTTTCATATAGTAGCTGAGCACGTAAGCATTGAACCCCCACAGGACTCCTCAAACGAAAACATATGTCCATCAAATACTTGTACAAAAATGTTCATAGCAGCTTTATTCATAGTAGCTAAAAACTGGAAACACCTCAAATGTCAATCAAGAGGAAAATGGCTAAATTATAACATATTAAGAAATTGCATATTAGC